GATACACAAAAGAAAGAAAAGAAAATCAGAAAAAGCAAATGCTGGAGCTCAGTAGTAGATTCTGTCTGTACTCACTGGTATGAGCAAGGCTTTGGGTGTGCATTGATTGTTAGGGGCCCAGCACATCTCAGGTTGTGATTTGTACTGGCTCCCTGTGGCTACCGGCTAGAGTGCTAGGCTGTGAGAGCAACAATTTTGAATCTCTTACTCAGTCCCTCTGAGCCTGTTTCCTTCTTTCTTCAGATACAATCACTAACAGTAAGGATTTGTGATGAATGAATTGATAGTGCCCCCCCCACCAGCCAAATTCAGGGTCTTGTGCATGCTAGTACTCTACCATTAAGACACTCCCAGGTCCCAGTCATTCTTCTTAAGCACCCTGATTGTCATTTCTCATTCAGTACCCCAAGTCTAAGTCAATCCTACTTCCTTCAGACTTGTACTCCTTCCAAGAATGCCATATTGACAGCTACCTGCTCCAGAAGACACCAAAGGCCATTTCTGTACTGAGAAGAGGGCTCTCTTCCTAGAAGCTGTGCTATGGTCCCTCTGAATGCCAAAAGACCATGGGAATCGTTTAGAAAAATAAAAAGCAAGACCTTTGCCCTGGCCCTGTACACAGGTGAGGGGGTTAATCAGGAATTTTCTTTCCCTCACTCAAGACTGCTGGTAGGGCATCCGACTCTCGGATGACCTGGGGATACATTAGCCTGTGGTAAGTGGGGCTTCCCAATGCCTTTTATCCTGTTTACAATACACTGGCTTTCCTTAGACGGGTCCCTTCTCTCTCTGCCTTGCTTCTGGCTGTTATGGCTACGTGAGACAATTTGGGGAAAGACTTTTCATAGAGGGCAGTTTCCTTGGAGACCAAGTTCCCCCTCCACAGCACCTGGGGCAACATCTCCTCCACCTGGTGGGTCCTAGGTTGGGGAGAGGATGCATGTTTTTCTTTGCTCACTGCAGTCCCTGAATTCAGATCTGTCAACCCTGCTGTCTGCTCAGCTTCAATCCAAGGGGTCAGAGCAAACCCAGAGGTAGCCAGGCAATGTCTCCCAGGCTTAGGTGTGTGTGTGTGTGGGGGGGTGATGAAAGCTATTGTCTAAAGCAGACCCTATCCAGAGGTGTCCTTTTTATCTGTGACAAGCACTTTGAGTCAATAAGGCAGGATGGTGACACAGCAGCTGCCTGGTCCTTGTCCTCTTCTCTGCAGCTCAGCATCTCTGCATAGACAAGCAGGGTGGTGATACTGGTCCTGCCTCCCAGCAGGGGATGAGAGCACAGAATGAGAGGGGGTCAAAGGAGGCATATCTTACCCAGCACTACACCCACTTTATGTTTTAACTTTTCACAGAGGATGGCTTTCCTGGTGTGGGTTGATTTTTGTTGCTGACTTTGTTTTATTCTTCTGCAGTGCTAAGATAGAGGCCAGAGCTGTGTGATGTGGGCAAATTTTAACCACCTAAAAGCCAATTTCAAGTAATTCAGTTTCTGGAATACAGAGCCATGAAAACTACTTGGGAGAATGAATTATTACATAAAATCCACTTAAGACGGCTGTTTTGTGATACTGGGGATTGAATCTAGGATTTCCCAGGCAAATATTTTACCACTGTGCTATATCCCCACCCCTGGAGGACCAATATTTAATGTTTAAGATCCTGCTGAAATCCTCTCTCTGGAAAGCCTCCCCCATCATGGTTCAAGATCATTTCTTCCCTACTGTGTCTCTTACTACCTCTCCCTTTGTAGTCTAGGCAGGTGATCTACCACTGAGCCGCATCCCTCAGCCTTCCCTTGTGACAGATTTATATTCTATCATGAATTGTTGGCTTTTCATAAGCCCCTATCTTTATCACCCTGACTAGATAATGAACTCTTTCAGTTCAACTGTTTTGTTACGTAACAAGTGGCATAAAAGTATAGTGTCTTAAGGCAGACATGGTGACCTACATTTCATCCCAGCATATAGGAGGAGACTGAGGCAGGAAGACAGTGAGTTAGAGGCCATCCTGAGCACTGTCTCAATGCCTCACTCAAGGACCCAGTAGCTTAAACATAAACCACTCTACTGCATCCTTTAATGTTATAGGACAGGAACTTGGGCAGAGGCTTAGAAAGGCCTCTAAAGCTTCACACCACATGGTGGCTGTTATGAGTGGTTTTTCCTGCCAGCCTGCCTGGTCCCAGAGCTGCATCAGCCCCAAATAACACACTGAGACGCTGTATTAGATATAATTCTGTTGGCCTGTTACTAGCATTTCTTATTGGCTAGCTCTGTCTTATTAACCCATTTCTATTCATCTAACTAAATATTTCCATGTGGTCTTATCTTACCGGAGAGAGGTCCCGAGCTCTATTCTCTCCAGTCTCTACATCTTGACTCCTCCCTACTTCTTCCTCTCTCCTCCTAGTCTCTTAGTCCCGCCTATCTTGCTTTCCTATTGGCCAGCAGTGCTTTATTCATTAACCAATACGAGAAACGTATTTACAGAATGGCATCTCCCATCAGGTGGCAGTCCTCCAGCAGTGGCCATGTCTATTTCCATTTGATAGTATTAATTTCTAAGGCCAATTGGCCTTTGCAGTCAATCTCCTCCATTTCTTATGATCAATGTGATGACCTCATGACTACTAGGTCAGTCTCAAGCTGTGTCAGAGAAGAGTCAAGTGTCCCTTGCATGAATAGCACTTCTCTTCCAGAACCACCCTAGCCAATCTTCCCCGACTCTAACAATGGGTTTCAGAGTGTGGAAGCAATAAACACTGAAAAAAAAATCACATTCTAGGAATGCAGTAGAAGCTATATTGTTGTACACTAATCCTACAAGATTCTAACTGGGTTTGATGTCTTTGTGAATACTTGTTATGGCAATCAAATTTGTCAACTTGATTGCATTAAGAAACACCCAGAGGAACTAGAGAGATGTCTTAGCACTTAATACCACTTGGTGCTCTTCTAGAGGACCTGAGTTCAGTTCCCAGTACCTGTATAGGATGGCTCACAACCTCCTGTAATTCCAATTCCAGGGGATCCAATGCCCTCTTCTGGCCTCTTAAGGCATCTGCACTCACACATACACATAACAAGGCACATAAATAACAAACCAAACAAACAAACAAACAAACAAAAACAAAACAAAAAAACTGTGAGGACCCAAGTAAGGCACATCTTTGGATGTGTCTGTGTTTATTTCTAGAAAGGGCAAGCAGCTGCCTCCCATTCCCAGCATCATAAAGCTGCCTGCCACCACTACTTTCTTGACAGGATGGATGGTATCTTTTCACACTGTGGACCAAAATTAGCCATCTCTCTTCTAAGTATCTTCTCAGGGATGAGAGAAATAACTAGCAGACACAGTGCTCTAGGCAATACCTGCAACTCCTGCCATCACTAGCAAAACACAGTAGTGAACGGAACCAATAATCACCAGCAGAGGGAAGGGGATGAAACATCAAGAGTTATGTTGTATCAAATGGCACAAGGAACTGGACAGGCACAAGAGCTACCAAAACCAATACAGACAGAAGAACCACAGCATTATAAATAACAGCTTTGTTCTCTTGTTTTCGTGGTGGCCAGAAGTAGCACATTCAAAAATAAAGGACAAGAACAGGTAGGTATATAGTTACTGGGCCCCAACAGGGACTTGTGATGTATGAAGACTATAAGGAGTCCTTCCTGTATTTATTACAAAAATAATTGAATATGAAGGCCCCTCTTTTCTGTTATCTATTCTTATTGTTTTTCATGTGGGGCCATGGATTTTTAAATACAAATTAAAACCAACATAGCAACAATTTAAACCTACATAGCAAGGCCCACAAAAATACTTCCCTAGGGCCCCACATAACCCCAAAGCAATTCTACTGATACAAACAAGTACACATATTTCCCTGCATATTCCTCACCACTGAAGTACTAAAAATCTAATCCTTTCATCTAATCCTCCCCAATCATACTGTCCATTCAACCATAGTTGAAATGCAGCCACATCCCCTCCCCTACACCCATGCTTCTTGTTCCATGAATCCCTCTTGCTCCTCCTCTCCAGGAAAATGGTCCTTACATCAGTGATATCCTAAATGCCGGTTGCTACTTGGCCTCAAGGTATGAACCTTCTCAATAGACAGTGAGGAAGAGAAACTTCAGGAATGTGTTTTGTGTGTGTTCCTATCCCACGCCATCTGTGGATGACACATAGTAGATGTTCAGTAAATGAGAAAGGAAGTGGGAAATTCAATGCTAGGGAAAGAATGAATATGGGCAGGCAGTCTCTTGGGACTCAAAACTGGGAGGGATGCAGGATACAGGAAAGTAGAAGGTTCAACTCACCAAAGGAAGAGGAACAACTCCTCCCTTGGGAGGAACTGTAGATAAGCACCTAGATGGATGGAAATGAGATGGGCCTAGGTGAAGACAAGTGTTTGAACCCTTCCAAGTCCTAATCCAAGTGTCACCCGCCCTTTATGTCTTTTAAAATTTTCCCATTGACGACAACCCCAGTTCATTATCTTTGCATTTATTGGGGTTTTCTACCTTTTGGAATGTTTATTTGGATATAGACCGTATTTCCTTTTCTGGTCCAACCTCTTGAAGATCAGGAGGAATTTGGTTGCTCCCCGTCACACAGGACACATGTTAAACACGCACCCACTGTGGGTTTTAACGGAAACCAACAGAAGGAGACAGGAAGATTAGTGGGCAGACGGGTTCGGGACAGGAAATGCATTCGTGTTGAGGAGCGAAATCCCCAGACCCGTAATTACAAAGTTTAAGGTGAAGCCAAGTAGGAATACGCTGCAAAGAGCGAGTTGGAGAAAGTCGCCTGCGACTTCTCCCCGCGGCTCTGACGTCAGCACCTCGCGTCCGTCCTCTCCGATACCTGACTCAAACTTGAAGCTAGTCTCCAGCAAAACCCTTACCCCTTGGCTCCCCGCTGGGCCGAGCCTCGAGCCACACCCACCCTTCGCGTACTCCCAAGCCCGACCTCACAACCACCACGAGACAGGCACACTCGCGGACGCCCTACTCGGAAGGGCGGGTCCTGAGACCGGAAGTAGGAAGCCGGAAGTGGGCCTGTGAGGACGTGTTCCGAGGAAGCCGCAGGCCGGCTCAGCCGGCGTCATGGAGCCGCTGTACCAACAAACGCACAAGTGAGGGCTGCGTCGGGGAGCAGGGTGGGCTCGTCCCGGGCGGCGGCTCCGGGGCCTCGGGGCTTTGGCGACTGCCATTGTGGAGGTCGAGCGTTTCTGCCGGGGCTGCTCCGCACCTCTCAGCCCCTAGCGGGATGTCCTGAGCCGCGAGAGGGGGTCCGGTGTGCGCGCGAAGTCTTGGGCCTGCTGCAAGCCGTGACTGCCTATTGGGAAGGGAGAGTAGCAATCCCTCAACCCCCGCAGGTTCTAGTACATTTTGCAGCCCCTGCCAGCTTAGTCCTTCGGGTTAAGCGGTTGGCGAAGCTTGTGTCCACGAGTTCATTGCTCAGTGGGAGTGTCAGGGGTTGTACGAAAAGTGTTTTGTGTTCTTGATTGGCTATTAAAGAATCTGTTTTTGTGACACAAAGAAATAAAGGTAACAGATTTGTTATTAGTTTTATCAGGTTACAAGTTACCTTTAAGGAAATGGAGTTTTAGATTATCTGTTCATAACTAAATTCGTTTCCTCAATGTGTCCTTTATTCACACTGTCCTGTGTTTTGGGAACTTGCTGTGTTATATATGTAGCTGGACATGATAAGAGACCATACTTACGCCGTTTTAAGGCCTTTCTGTTGATTTTATGGCAACACCGAACAACATACTTCTTGGGTCTGAAAAATGAAATAAACTAGTCATCCGGCCTCCTTAGTAAATTCATAGCAAAAGGAATGGAAATAAGATGGTGGCTATTCTTTTTCTTATATTCTAAGTGTGTGGTTTTCTTTTTACTTTGGCAACAAAGTTATTTGGGAGAGGGAAAATACAGAAACTACATTATAATCACAATTTGCATGTTATATAAAAAGTGTAGGAAGGGATTTAAAAAAAAAAAGGCAAACTAACCCATGAGTCCCATGGAAAAGGAGTGAAACAGAAAATCAAACTCATATTAAAGAACCGATCCTTTACATGGGCCTAGCAGTGCATTGAGGTTAATATGCTGATTGCTGAATTGACAAAACATGCATCAGAACATACTCATCACTCTAGAACTTTGAATCTGGGATTATCTCTTACTGTGAAAGTATACTGACATTAAACCAATTATTTAAAGTCATATAACTGGAAGAGTCCTGAGCACCAAATGAATGGAAAAACAGGCCTTTTTTTTTTTTTTTTTTTTTTTTCCCTTAAGTAATTGTCCACTAAGGTGAGCTTTATGGAGAAGGTAATAGCCAGGCTTCCATCTTTGAGATACTTGTGTTCCTTGTGTTGTCCAGTCTGCCATTCTGGATCTCATCTCTAGGTAATGCAGGTTAAGTAGGTCTTAGATACAACAGCTCTATAGTGAACAGGCTTTCCAGGTGGTTTTAATGAGTAGTTTGTTTTAAGAACTATTATCTCAAGACCAGTTTGTCAGTTTGCCTTATGAGGTGTAAAGACTAGCTCCAGAGGCAGGGTGGAAGATGTGAAAATCAACAGTGCGTGAGTGCGTGTGTACGTGCGTTCGAGTGTATGTGTTCAAGACAGGATTTCCCTATATAGCTATTAGCCAGTAACTTGCTATGTGGCTCAGACTGGCCCCGAATTTATAGCCTACCTGCCTCTTTGTCCCAAGTGCTAAGCCGACAGGTGAGCACCACCACACCCATGTTAACCCACTACTTTTTGTTTGTTGTAGAGTCTCACTGTGTAACTAGCTGACCTGGAACTCACTATCAAAGTCAGTCTGGCCTAGAACTTACAAAGATCCACAGAACTTATAAATAGAAATTAAATAGGGGAAAGTCAGTAATGTTTCTCTGAAATTTCTTAAAATTATCCTTCTTATCTGGCCAAAGAGTGTTTTTAGGGTGTGTTGTCTTGTCTGTCCTTCAGAATCTCAGACTTGAAAGGGACTGACAAGAGTTTCCATTCCAGTTCTGTCTTTGGGCATGATGACCCTTGAAAGACCCCAGACCTGGTGTTGCAGATGCAGGGGCACTTTCCTTTTTTTTTTTTTTTCCCTTCAAGAAGACAGTTCATAATTGTGCAGCTTGTCATTTGTTTCCTTTGTAAAGCTGAACTGTGGTGTCTTGGAACAGGTACCTTTGCTTTGAGGACTCCCTTAAAGCAAAAGTAGGAGACAAACCCTCTTTTACTTAAGTCCACCCAGTTATTTGAAGAGCATCCTTTGGTATTCTTGTTTAACCACAAATCTCAATCTGCACTGTCTTCAGACTCTGTTTATTGTAGATACCATGGAAGAAAACAACACATCTTTAAATCACCCAAGATGTACAGTTGTAATCCTCATTGTGTTCTTTCCCACTGTTAATGGCCTGTGGCTTCATTTCCCACTTTCCCATGGACCATTACGATTGTATAGCTCATTTGTTCGTTGATTGTGTGAATGAATGAATAAGTAACATTACCCAATGTTAGGATTCATATTAATAAATGTGCTTCAGATAATTGATTTATAAACAAGTTTGAATCAAAAGCTCCTACATCAGTTCTTACCCCAGAGTTTATCACCTGAATATAAGTGATTTTATTCTTCTTATACGTGTGTTCACAAATAATATATGCTACTTGTTTTATGTGGTTTTAAATTTACCATAAGCAGATACTTAATGTGCTAGGTTTTCCTTTTTCATGTCCACACTGATTGACTATATCAAGCTTTTATTTATTAACATTTTAATTTAGTTAGTGTGTGTAGGTGCAAACAAGCCAAAGAATGGAGATCAGCTTGCAGGGATTGGTTATGGGGATCAAACTCAGGTCATCAGGCTTGGCAGCATGCCCTTTCACCCACTGAACTATTTTGCCAACCCTGCTAGCTTTTATTTAATCTGCTGAATTTAATCTGAGTTATTTCTTGATGAATACTTCAGTAGTTTATTACATTATTAACAGTATTATTTACATACATCTCATTGAATAGATCCATAGTTCTTTATTTGAAACCTTTAAACACAAGGAGCTTTGAACATTCTTTTAGATTTTCAGAAAGAATTATGTTTTATGAGCTGGGCATGGTGATACACAACTTTAGTCCTAGGACTAGGGAGACAAAAGGTAGGTGGATCTCTAAGTTTGAGGCCAGTCTAGTCTATATAGTAAGTTCTAGGACAGCCAAAACTACATAATAAAGCAACCCCCCTTTTTTTTTTGTCTCCAAGAAAAGGAAGAAAAAGAAATATGTTGCATGTATCTTTTGTCATTTAACATCTCCAACATAAGGACAGCACAGGACACATGAAAGGGGCAATAAAATGTTACACTTTGTGGAATAAACAAAGATCATAGCTTCAAAACTTACCAATTTTTACCACATAATTGGTTTCCTACAGACTTACAAGTTTTTATTAAGATATGTGGCTGTGGGTTACAGCCTTGGTATAAGCCAAGTCCTTGGTATAAGCCAGAATCTCTGTAAGCTTTGCTGCCAAAAGTGTGGTGCTGGGTCATGCAATGTGTGTGATGCTACCAGGTGTTGTCAGAACTCGATTGAAGGGTCTGAGACTGTCAAGTATAGTTCCCCTACTAATGTCCGTGTTCTCAAGTTCTGATGGATTTTAACCCAAGTTCTCATTGGTTTTAACATGTGTTTTTCAGAGTTATCATTGAAGCTGATCTTTTTTTTTTTTTTTTAATGTATTTGCCTACTTTCTGTGTTTCATTTTCTGTCATTTGTCCTTTAGTTTTGTTTTGGTTTGTGTTTTTGTTTGCTTTTCAGTGAAGTCAGAGTTTCTCTGTGTAGCCCTGGCTGTTCTGGAACTTGCTCTGTAGGCCTGGGTGGCCTTGAACTTAGAGATCTGCCTGCTTCTGCCCTTAGTGCTGGGATTAAAGGTGTGTGCCACCACCATCCAGCTTTTTAGCCATTTTAAAAATTGTTCTGTTGTACTTTTCCTATTGATTTTCAGGGATTCTTTACATATTTTGAACATCAATCCTTTTGTTATCTGCTACTGATGTATTTGCTTATTTATTGAGTCAACTTCCAAATACTTCTTCAGAATTGAGTTGGTTATTGTTTTTTGTTTGTTTTTGCTGTCTCTATTTTTTTCTTTCTTTTTCCTTTTTTATCTTTTTCTTTTTGTTTCTATTCCTGTGGATAATGACACCAACTTTCTGATTTGCTTTAAGACACCATTACAAGTTTACCTCATTGCCTGTGTCCTACTTCTATTAATAGGAATCCTAATTTTCCTGCCCATCAACCCACCAGTTTCTGCTGTTGTCATTATCCAGGTGTTCCATATATCAATTACCTGCATCTCTGCATCAACCCTTGTACCTCACTGACTCGGCCCTGCTCCATCCCTTCCAAAGCACCCTGTATTCCCCTTCCTGAAGCAGCTGACAGGTTGCTTCACGGGGTCACAAGGCTTGCCTTGGAGCATTCAGGAAGTCTTAGACAGCTGGATTGGGTTCTGGTGCCATAGGTCACACTTAGAAGTTACAAGAAAGCTGTGGAAAGGCCAGAGTCACACTGGAGCAAGATGGGGCTCCTGGCTGGCCCTGGTAAAATTTGAGGTCATGGTATATAATGTTTGCAGTGGAGAAAAATTGTTGTGCTTTCTGTTAAGGACTGGAGATGAGGTCTCCTTCACACAGGCTCTTTGCAGAGTGCCTGTATAAGTAAGTATAGGAGGCATTGAGGTAACATAAGCAGCATTCCAAGAGCTGACAAGTGATGGGGAACCACTAAGAAGGGTTTGAAAGTGATGATGGTCTGGAGAGTCTCCAGAGAGTGCCCTGGGCCCAATGTCTGTTAGCTGTTGCATTTCCAAATGAGATGTCAGTCCCCCTCCTATCGTCAGGGAGAGATGTTTACCAAACAGGAGATGCCTATCTTTCAGAGCCATCCTCTAAAGTGGTCCTTCTAGTGCATACTTCCCCCGGCTCCTTCTCTCACTCAGTGTCTTCCAAGCACTCCAGCCTGCCTTTACCCCATGTGAAATGCCTTGTATGCCTTCTGCATAGCATTTTCTATGGTGGCATGCACAACAGTAATCCCAGCACTGTGGAGACTGAGGCAGGAGGATCACAAGTTCAAGGAGAGCCTCAGATGCATAAATGAGTTCTTGTCTTAAAAACAAGCAAACACAGCTCCTTCCATCCACAAAATGCCATGGTTTACACTTTCTTAGCCCCAGGCCTTCTATTCCTTTGCCCCACTATACACAACTTCTCCCTCAACTTTCTGTTTCTGCTTATGTGTTTTGGTTTTCCCGTAACTCTTCTCAGGGATTTTTCATGTCCATCTGGACTGTCAGTTCCTAATTGCATTGTTTCTCAGGGGCAAGGATTGTATCTCACTTGCCCTTTGACTCTTGGTAGACAGACCAGTGCTCAGCACATTGGGTCACAGAACAAAGAGTGGGATTGGCTGGATTCTGGTGGAGGTTTATCTCCTGCTGTGTGGCCTTGAGCAACTTACATGACCTTTCTGGGTTTCAGTTTTTATTTATAAAATGAGAATGGTGATAGTGCTTTTCCTTTCAGGGTTATTGACTTAGCAGTGTTTCAGATACAGTAAGCACTCGCTGAATGCTAGCAGTATTATTATTAGCATTAGGATCTTAGAAATGATGCCAAAATGGGTGTCCGAAAGTGCCATGTATAAATTTTACAGCTCAGCAACACTGTCAGTTTAAATCAGTTGTAAGATGGCATTCGAACAAGTTGTCTTTTCCTGATTGAAGTGCTAGTGATTATTCCTGTCTCACTCATTTCCTCCCTCTTCCTTTGATAGGCAGGTCCACGAGATCCAGTCTCACATGGGACGCCTGGAGACGGCAGACAGGCAGTCTGTCCACTGTGAGTAATTAACCAGGGAGAGCAGAGTCCTTTCTCTGATGACATGGGGCTAATGGGCTGGGTTTCCTGACTGCATTCTGCCTTGGGGGCTTAATGACTCAGCATGGAATAAGTTGTTAGGATGAACAGAAAAACCTTATGGCCAAGTCACAGAGTTCCCTGATTGTGCCCTCTCGAGTCCCACCAGTTTTATCCCCCATTACCCTTCCACTCAACCTGACATGGCCCTATGGGAATGGGAGTTCTCTCTCCATCTATCTTAATCTAATTACCTAGTCTGAAAATTCAGACATGTTGACCTGGAACTGGCCATCTCTCCTGAGCTGAGAACTCTGGCTTCTTAGTAGGATTATTTAAACAACTAGCAATATTAATTAGTTTAGTTCCCACACCAGAGTTTCTTTTGAGACGCATGTGGGGTTGTGGTTTGGAGTTTAGTTTCTGCTCCAAGCAAAGCCCCCCCTTTCAGAGCCAGCCTTGTAGACCTCCCAGGGAAGCTCTTGTCGCCTCACTGCCCGCTCTCACAGGTCTGTTTCTGTTGCCTCTTTTTCCAAGGCTCCCAGCGTGGCCCTTCTCTTAGCTTTGTGCCCTACAGTGTGCTCTAATCCAAAATGTTTGCTGCAGGTGTGGAGGCCTAGGAAGGGCTGGTGCCAGGGTTGTCGTTTCTTGGTGGGGAAGGCAACTGCCTGGATGCTTGCTCTGTGCGGTTTAGTTTCTGCCCACTGGCCTTTGTTTGCCTTCCCAACAATCTCATTGTTGCCTGATTAGAAATGGAAAGAGGTCTTTTTGATAGCCTTATCAAAGGGGATAAGGAAAGTGACTATCACACCCTCTACCTCTGCGGGCTCCTTCCTGGGTCTTTCCTATTGATATGTGGTCCATTCTGAGGGCTCCAACACATCTTGGCCTACCCCTGCTTTCAGAATGTCTCTGGGCGTTTTCATACTGAGCTTCCCATTTCTTTATGCTAATTATTTTTCTTTTAGCCTCATCTATGAGGAATTCTGTCTGTAACCTTTTTACTAGTTTATTAACCATATCTGAGACCAATCTCAAATAGAGCTATATCAAAACATTTAGCTTAACAGAGTTATTTTCAAAAGGTGGAGAGTTTATGTCTTCAGTCATGCCTTCTACTTTAAAACCAGGACAGCTAACAACTGTGTGTAGCTATAAGGATATATCTGCTTTGAAACACGCTATGCCTTGAATTGATTCATCTTTGTGTGCATTGGCTCCTTTTGAAACACATGTTTTAGTTTGTGTTATGGAAAAATGTTTGACTTACCACTTTTCTGAGGGTGGGGGTTGACACATGGTTTCTCTGTGTAGTCCTGGCTGTCCTGGAACTTGCTCTTAGACTAGGATTGGCTTCTAACTCAGAGATCCACCTGCCTCTGCCTCCTGAGTGCTGGATTAAAAGCGTGTGCCACCACTGCATGGTGCAATTTATCACTCTTAATTTGATTTATTATCTCTTTCCCAGCAATTATTTTTTTCTCCCTCTCTTTTGTGCAGTAGTAGAAAACGAAATCCAAGCAAGCATAGACCAGATATTCAGCCATCTAGAGCGTCTGGAGATTTTGTCAAGCAAGGAGCCCCCTAATAAAAGGCAGAGTGCCAAACTGTGAGTGTTGACCCCTGATGTGGCTCAGATACTGCCCTCCGAGACAGCCCTTTCTCCCATTAGAAGCTGTAGGATATTCTGAAAATCTGGGTAAATACTACAGAAATGAAGACTGTGCAAAGATAAGGTCTTCCTAAAATACGTAGTTTTACTCTAAGCAATATACCCTACAAATTAAAAGTATGAGGTTTGTTTCTCAGAAGCCTGTGATCATGGTCCCATGTTTCTTTTGGGGGTGATTATGATCTCTTGTTTCTTTGAGGTCATTTTGAAAATATGCACTTTCTGACCAGACCCCTGGCCACTGAAAGCTTAATGCTGCTGGGGATTTTGGCTCTACTGTTTAGTTCCCACTGGCTTCTGTTGGGCTGAAATGCCCTGGTCCTAATCGCCTCAATCAGTCTATTTATAATGAAGTACTGATCTAATGTTTGATATTCCACCATGAAAGTTAAAGGAAACTACCTTCACCAACACTCCAACTCCTGCTCCTGAAAGTTCCATGAAACTTCATTGCTGCTCTACCTCAAAGCTGCCCTTGGGCTTCTTCCAGGAGTGTGGAATAACTTGTGCAAGGTCAGGAAGGGGTCATCAACCCTGCTTCCTGTCACCTGTTCGCTGAAAAGTTGCAGTCCAGCAGACATTTAAGTAAAGCTGCTGGAATTGCATGTGATTCTACCCACCTTAACCACAAGCTGCTGCTCGACTTGCCATCTTTGCATGGGGAGAAGTGAAGCAAGGCCTTTTCCCCTGAGTACAAAGCCAGGCTGCCTCAAAGTGTGCCACCTTTGGTTCCTGGAGTTTAACCTCTGTCTCATTAATTCCAGCCGTGTCGACCAACTCAAGTATGATGTCCAGCACCTGCAGACAGCCCTCAGGAACTTCCAGCACCGGCGCTATGCCAGGGAGCAGCAGGAGCGACAGCGAGATGAGCTTCTGTCTCGAACCTTCACCACTAACGTAAGCCAGACACTGGGGGTGTCAGAGCTGAGAGCAGGTCGCCAGGCATCACCTCTTAGTGGGGTGCTTGAAGCAGACTCAGGAGGACGAGAACAAGTGGACTGACGGGATTTTGTGCATTGCCACTAAGACCACACCTAGATGGGGAATTTCTCTCCAACACAAACCCTGAAGAGGAAGCGGTTACATTGGAGAAATGGGCAGAGGTGGAAGTTCACACAATTGAGGTTTTTTGGGATCAGATGGAGACAGATGGCTAGAACTTAGCCCATCTGTAGAGATGCAGATGACAGCATTTGGAAGCTGACTCCAGGCACTGCCATGGTACTCTCTCTCTCTGTCTCTGTCTCTCTCTCTTTCTCTCTCTCTCTCTCTCTCTCTCTCTCTCTCTCTCTCTCTCTCTGTGTGTGTGTGTGTGTGTGTGTGTGTGTGTGTGTGTGTTTGGAAGCTGACTGCAGGCACTGCCATAGTACTGTCTGTCTGTCTGTCTCTCTCTCTCTCTCTCTCTGTGTGTGTGTGTGTGTTTCCAACCTCAGATGCATTAAAATGTTGTTTAGTGTTATGGATTGCTTAGCTTCAGTCTTTTGGAAAAGCCTGTTGGTTTGCATGTTTGATTTCTTAGAAGCCCCACCCCTACCCTGTAGCTTCAGTAAGAGTGTTCTCTGAATGTGCAATGTACTGGCCTTTCTGGCCTTTTTCAGCCCTGACTCTCACTGGCAGGAGGATAAACCTATCACTCCAACCCCCTGCTGTAGTGCATTTCTCCCAAGTGCCTCAGAACTGGCTTAATAGTTTTGTATTTTCCATAGTAGGTGATTAAGCAGATTGTGGTGGTTAACAATTCACAGATATAGCATGCTTTAAGATACTAAATATGATAGCATACTGAAAAATATGTCACATTCAGGCCTTTTTAGGTCAGATGACCTCTTAGGATTACTTTGTTGATTGCCAGCCTAATGTGGCACCACATATTCACTAGGCTACTCAGAAACATTGACCTACCAAGTGAAACTTCTTTCTAGACATTTTACGTATTCTAAAAGAGAGTACCTAGCACACATCCCTTTTCAGGTGGGAATGAATGTGAGACAGATTTATTTGTAAAGTCAAGAAGTGCTTGTCAGATAAGGGGAGTCATTAATTCTCTTTAGAGTCAACACCAAGTAAAACATTTGAGAAAATTACTGATCATGGGTCCTCCCTTTGAGCAGCTCTCATGTTAGTGGGAAATTCGGAGTGCCCATCTGAAGGCAGGTTCTGAGCTTGAGCAACAGAACTGATGCTTTGTCCTCCTGCTAGTGGGGATTGGGGCTTCTGTGGTGGAAGGGGCATTGTCTGGCAGGAGCTTGTGTCAGCCAGGCTGCAGGAAGGAGAGCACTCATAGCTGGTGACCACCTACCTGGTCCTCTCCCTAGCCCAGACAGTGATATTAGAGCACCAGAATTGTTCGTAGTGTTTCTGTCTACAGTGTGGTTACAACTTAGAGTTGACTGTGCACTCTGCCTTGGGATCCTGCCTATCTTGATAAGTTATTCTGTCTCTATGGGCTTCACTTTCTTCATCTGCAAAATGGGGAGAACAGAAATAACTCCCAGGATGCTGAGTGAGTTTAGGGAAATGGACCTGTGAAGTATAAGGACTTGGTCTATCCTGATAGGGCATCTTCAGTCCGAAAGTTCAGCATCCAAAGGAGCTGCTCAGTAGGTAAACTCCAATCCAAAGTCTGCAGAGCCGTGGAATCCGAGACACTTCGGCCCCAAGCCTTTCAGATAGCCTGTACTTAGCCTGTGGTCTTTGTCCTTCTTCCCCCTGCCTTTCTTTCTTTAGCAACCTTTTCCTGCTTCCCCAGAAGTGTGTTCCCATCCTCAACACCCTTAAGCCTTCTGTTGAAAGCGCTGCTTCTTTGATCTATAGTCTCAGTCTTTCCAAAGGGATAGCTTTAGATAAAACAGCTAAAGAACAAAAGCAAACATGTAATAGCATACGAGCAAGAAGTCATATAAAGGAACTTTTGAATAGCTATCTTTGGGAGGAGCTAGAGAAAACCTTTAGGAGAAATGAATGAAATCTTGAAGGAATAGCTAGCTTTTCCTCAGTGGGGAAATGTGACACATACAGAAAACAACACTGTACCAGAACTCATTTGGATTGTGATGGGCCTGATACCTACTCTGCTGTTGTATAAGCAGATTCCTGCCCCCATACACACACCTTTGGTTTGTTTTTTCTTCTGTTTGACTCTGATCTTACATTGTTCCCTCTGGCTCTTCTGGCTTGACCTTGGCCAAAAGGCAGAATAGTAAGATGCCACCAGACCCCAAGAGCTGACTAGCAAGGGAAGTTAATCAAGTGCCTGCATTTCTTTCACAGGACTCTGACACCACCATACCCATGGATGAATCACTGCAGTTTAATTCCTCCCTCCAGAACATTCACCACGGCATGGATGACCTCATTGGAGGCGGGCACAGTATTCTGGAGGGACTGAGGGCCCAAAGACTGACCTTGAAGGTGGGGTCCCTGTTGGAGAATAGAGAGAAGGCCTCTTATTCTGACCTTGTCCTATAGTTCAGTATCTGTGTTTGTATTTTGTTGCTGTGTCCCCAGCTCATGGTGTTTCGACAGTAAGCCCAAGCCCTTAAGCTTGCAGGTTTGCCGGTGCTTGTAATAAAACCCAGTGGCACTTCTTGGTGGCCAGGGCTTTCTTTGTCTTTTTACTGATCCTGCATGAAATTGAGGCTGCTACAAAGAGACCATGGCAGGCGGAGAAATGCTCCTTTGGATTTGCTCTCATAAGAGTGAAGGCATGACAGTCTTCTAAAGTGGTTTTCCTTTGAGATTCCAGCTGTGGAGTATTTTATGATGGAGGCTTTGTTTTGTATTTATCCCAGGGATTGTGCGTTCGGGCTGCCTAAGCTTGCTGTAGGTGACTTCCAGAACACATGGTAGTTGCATGCATTATCTCTTCCTCTTGGAGCCACATGTCCAAGAAGCCTGCCCTGTTGGCCCTGTTGGCACTGTTGACCCTGACCCCTGGGAGTCATTTACAGAAACATCACACAGATTGTTGTGAGTCATAGTGTTTCAGCCTCAGTCTTTCCCGTATCTGTTCTGATGGCTCGGGGGTGTGGGCTCTGTCTGTTACCAGGGTGTGATTCCCCCCAGAATAAAGCATTGCCAGCCATTAGGTTGTGAGAAAGTCACTTGGAAGTGTGACTATTATCTTAGTTTTTTATTGGAGCACACTGAGCTGTCTGCTCCATAGGCCTCCAGTGTGTTTCTGAGCAGCTCTCACCATCTTTACTGGGGAGAGGAATAGATAGGCCTGCTGATGCTTACCTCCTACTGACAGGGAAAGCATTTCCAATGGCTCAGGAAGGTGCTCGCTGTCAAAACAGCCACTAAAGAAGTCTACACAGATACTGGTTGGCTGCCCTGCCCTTTTTTTTTGTAGAGAACTTCCCTCTTTTCTACTGCTCAGGGAAAGTCAAGACTTTTAGAAAACACATCCCTGTGGCGCTAATGCAAAGCTAATGGGGTTGCGACTGTTGATGGAGTGTTAGCTTCCTCTGAAGTCTCTCTGAGGAGTCCGTGTGCACTGGAGCAGAGGTGCTTGCCAGGAACCCTGTCCAGGCAGCCACTCTCCAAGTCACTTTTTCTCTGTGTCCCTCCTTCTGCTTGTCTTGCCTCTTGAGCCAGGGAATTTTCTCCCTAAACCATGTAAGGGGAGCATGAAAGAACTGGGAAAACCACTTTGGTGTTATGGTTGGGAATAGGGACTCTGAGATTAGTGGTCACTTTCAGGTGGTTTTAGAAGCCATGACCACAGAGTAATCTGCACTTCCAACCTAAGGTGGGGTCTTTCACACAGCTCCCATTTCCTCACTGATGGGAAGGGAAACTTTTCTAGTCTCCACTGACAGCTGACCAGTTTGACTTGAGACCTCCATTTTATTTTTATTTCCAATAAAGTATTCTAGAAGTGTCCACAGGAATAGGGCTGAGCATGAACCCAGTTGGTGCTGCTCATGTGTCTGGGTAATGTTTGTCACCATTGTAGAAGTTTTCAGAAAACTGGTAATGTTGGAACATTCTGGGCCATTGATCTGCTTCCGCTAGATCATAGGCTGGGTCCTGGACACAAGGGCTGTTAGCTGCCTAAGAAATCATGTCACTAGCACAGCTGAGAAGGCAAGAGTGTTACCAAAGAAGACGTTGCACATTTGATTATATACTGTGTATAAATGACAGCAGCCTGAGAATTAAAAACTGCAAAGCTAAAATGGAGCTACTTGGGAGTTGTGATCCACAGAAACTGCTCAGTGTTGATGATTTCTAGTGTGGCCTCTTCTACTTAGAGTTGGTATGCTATCTGTTCTCAGGCTATATGTAAGCCTTCCTGGAGAAGATCTACTAGCTGCCCTTTCCCACCACTGTCTAGCATCTCATCCATCAGTCTTGTGCCCAAGAGCAATAGCAGTCCTTGGCCCCAGGCCCAGCCTATCTTCAGATGCTTTAAGGTTCATCTTAGAAATAATGGTATGTAGAGCAGGAGGTCTATCAGCAAATGAAAGATGCTCTTCTGGAAACCCATGCTCCATCCTCACTGCCCACACATTGTGCCTAACTATCTGTAACTCCAGTTTCAGGGCATCCAATGCCTCTTCTGACATCTGCAGGCTCCTGCATGCACTGGCACACACGTAAATGGAGGCATACACACATATACATAAATCATAAATACATGTTTTTAAAAGTTGTATGTAGAAATTAGATGTACTCAGGCCTCCCAGCACTCGGGAGGCAGAGTCAGAGGCAGGTGGATCTCTTGAGTTCCAGGATAGCCAGGACTGTGTCACTGAGAAACCTGTCTTGAAAGAAAAGAAAAAAAAAAAAAAAAAAAAAAAAAAAAAAAAAGCAAAAAAGCCAAAACCAAAAAAGAAAAGAAATTAGATGTATTTTCAGAAGAGTAAAAAGATTTGAGTAAGACACTCTGAAGTGTGGTTCATAATACTTAGACTAGTTGAACCCCTTTGCCTTAATTACAGAATAGTAGAACAAGCAAATAAGGAACAAGACAGGACACAATAAAGTATGAGTGACTTTATGTTCTGCCTGGTCCTGAAGCCAATTCATCCCCAATAAACACACGGACACTATATTAATTGTAAAACTCTTGACCAATGGCTAGCTCTCTTTTAATTATTTACCCATTTCTGTTAATCTAAGTATTTCCACGTGGTCTTATCTTACCAGAGAAGGGTCTGGACCTGTTCCTTCTTCCTCGTCTACGTGGCATCTCTGGGTCCTCTCCCCAGCCTTCTCCTTGTCTGGTAGCCCCATCTATCCTTCCTGCCTGGCTACTGGCCGGTCAGTGTTTATTCATCAACCAATAAGAGAAACATATATACAGAAGGAAATACTGCAACAAATGGCCAGCCTCTGATCCTAGGAAGACTTGAATAGTCTGGTCAGCCTTGACAAGTCTGTCCTCTGCTTGCCTTACACTCTGCTACAGCCTCTTCCACTCATAGTGGTTCTGTCTGTAGCAGCTTTCCACTTAACACTGCAAAACATTTTAACTTGGATGCACATGGTGCACACTTGCATCTTCAAAGGGTAAGAAAGGCTGAATGTGGTAGCACATGCCTAGAATCCTAGCATTGGAGAGGGTGAGGAAGGAGGACTATATGAGTTGTAGACCAGCCTGGGTTACTTAGGGAGACGCTATCTTGAAAACAAGCAAAAAGAATATTAAGATAGGTGCAGCAGGTTGGTGTTAATTAATCTTTATCACTCTTAAGTATTTTGTTTGTTTTCTAGTTTATTTGTTCCCATTTGAGATATTTTGCCTCTAAAAATTTAATGAGCTCCGGAAAAGACACTTGTATAGACACTGTGATTAGTAGAGGGATATGTCTGCTTGTATTCATAGCTATACAATTGTTACCGCGCCTGCACAGCCTGGGACCGAGATTGGCGGAGGATGTCGGGATTGAAACACTTAACAGACCACCACGAAGTTAAGAAGCTGCTACCACCACTGTTTATTATAGAGAGTAATGGACTTATATACCCAAGTCAGGGGATGGGCTAAACATAGGAGGAAGTCATGCACTACCCATACCTGGGGCCAAGGCACAGGCACTGCACACCAGAAAGTTCTGAAAACAACCTTGCTTGCACGGAAGTTCTACATCTGGGTGGGGAGAAGAGAGCTGTAAGGGACAAGCACTTACATTTCCCAACAATTGTCATGAATTGTCTTAGGTATGACAAATTTAGTTTAAAAAGCTGGTGGTGGAACGCACAGGCATGCAGGCAGATCTCTGTGAGTTTGAGGCCAGCCTAATCCATACAGTTGAGTTCCAGGACAGCCAGGTTTACACAGAGAAAGCCTGTCTCGAAAAACAAGCAAACCACAACAAAAAAGTAGCTTACAGTGTTGGGGAAAGTCCAGTGTTCATTGGTGTACTGGCTACTGAACTTCATAAAACTATTCATACTGTTGTATGTGGCTTCTTTCTCTGGTTTTAAGATTCATTCATGTTATAACATGTTTGGTTATATGTGCTAATTAGGTCCTTTTTTATTTCTGAGCCATGTGTATCTATACCATAATGTGTTTATATAGCTCTGGTTGATACATAAGCTGGATTGCTTATGTTTTTAGAGCTTCTCCTGATTTTCTGTTTACTTTTGTCTTTTTAAAAGAAGCTTTCTTGTAGTTTCAGCCTTTGTGTTTATTTAGAGATCCACCTTGAATGAGTGTGTTACTCAAATGGCACAGATGCCCTCCTCGAAGACTCTGACAATGCCTCTCACTGACTCTGGAGCTAAACTGGTGGCCACCAAGCCCCACCAATTCTCCTACCTCAGCCACCTATAGCATTGAAGGCTGTAGGCTAACCTCATCTGGCTTTCTACACAGATTCTGAGGTTCCAAACGCAGGTCTTATGCAGCAAGTATTCTTACTGAGCCATTTCCCAGCCCCAAGTTTTGTATGTAATGTGAATCACGGTTCACTTTTTTTTTTTTTTTTGACTTATATGTGAAATGTACATATATACATGTATTATGCACATGTGATATGTACCCAGTTCCAGCAACGTTTGTGGGAAAGGCTTCTTTTGACCAAAGTTGGCCATGGTGAAGTGAATCTATTTCTGGTGAGTGTTGCCTTTCATCTCTGGGCATGACCAAGAAGACGCTGTCTATTAGTAAAACCCTGGCTCGTGGTGCTCTTTAAACCACCCTTGGCAATTGTGTTGATCTTCGTTTTTCTTTCTCTTCCCATCTCCCCAGGGGACTCAGAAAAAGATCCTTGACATTGCCAACATGCTTGGCTTGTCTAACACAGTGATGAGGCTAATTGAGAAGCGGGCCTTCCAGGACAAGTACTTCATGATCGGAGGGATGCTGCTCACCTGTGCAATCATGTTCCTTGTGGTACAGTACCTGACGTGAGCCAGCTGTACCCACCACGGATAACCTTCCCACTGTGTGCGCATGTGCAAGCAAGAAGTGGGCCTGGAGGCCACGTTTGAAATGTATGCCTTAACTGTGAAGACACCCCTCCCCCCAGGAGTAATTGTGGCTTAGTATCAAACCTGCTTTGTTGTCTGTGACATCTGGGGAGTGGGAACTAGGGTCACCAAGATATGTGGTGCTTAGGAAGTGGGCTAAAACCCTGTTATCTAGTTCTCACTGAGGGAGGGATGGGTGGGTTTGGGGGTCTCTCCATACAACTAATGCTTGCCCTGGAAAGCCTGCATGGTGAGGCTTGCACACAGGACTGTTCACGTTGTTCACTCCTCGTCATCGCCCACCCTCTGTGGCTCCTGATGTGGGGGGCTGGGTCACAAGTGAGAAGATGAGGGAAGAAGTCTTTCCTTGTGCCTTCTGGGATAGATCAGTTCTCACATCCTTCTAGCCACTACCCAGTCCCAACCCCTAAGAAAACATGACATGTAGGTGACTGACTGCTAACACCAGCACCCCGTCCCTGGAGCAGCTACTCCAGGGAAGCGGTGACATTGGAGCTGCTGCTGATAATGTAAGCTTTTCCATGCCACCGTTGCTGGGTGTTTGTCCTTCCTGAGGTGAGGCCAGCAGTGTTCCTGGGGAGTGTTCAGTTGGACACAAGTCCTAAGTCACCAGTGTTTTTCCAGTTAACACAGCAATTGGCTCTTACAGTTCAGAGATGGTAGCTTGGCTCCTCCACCCAGGCCTTTGCGCCTTTGAAGGAGTCCATGAGCAAAGGGTGGTTTGTAAGTTGCATACTTATCTGGTTCTGCCATCTCAAATTCCTGTGACTATCTCTCCTTTTCCTTGAAATATATTAGTAATATATCCATCCACTAAACCTGCATTTTCCCCAGCCCAGGTAGGCCACCCTAGAGATGTCCCTGGGAAGTATATCTTTATGAGACTGTTTCAGGGAGCAGGTCATTTTTACTTTGCCCGGCCATGATTAAGACTATATCAATACCTGGTGTATTGCAGAATTTGTTTGAAAATTAATATATCTTGAGCACACTTGTGCTTAATCTCTGAAAGTACCAGAAAGATATAGTGAATTTATTTGCTCACTAGTCACAGGCCCACCCAAACATTTCTAAATTTAGTAGCCTTATGGTGGGACAATCAGATACCCAGAATTCCTCAGAACTGGAAACCTGGTCAGTATTAACCCTGCCTTTGATTGTCCTGCCTGTCTTTGCTTAAGTATCCTCTGTGCTGTTTCCCTCTTCACGGTGTGTTACGTCCCACCTCTCTCCTACTGAGGAGCAGCATTTGTTTCTTGGGCGCGCCTGTGGTGTCCCTTTGGGGAACATTCTCGGCGATCACATTTTCAGCCTGACTTTCAGATTCTGCTCAGATTCAGTGTCTGTTGCTCCTTCCCCTCTAGGCTAACTGGGCCCTCGATGGCCAGGAAGTGGGGATCTCTGACTTCTCTAGGAAGACTTGATAGTTCTGTGGAGTAAAAACAATGGCCTAGATCTCACTTTGGGGAGGCAGATTGGCATGAGCTCTGGCTGGCCATAAAGTGGAGTTTAGATGGCACAGACCTGACTGCCCTGCCCCCTCGGCACCCCATGATCCCACCAGATAATGTACTTTGGAAGATGTGCAAGCTAAAACTGAGCCATTTGGACTCAAAATGTGGGCAGCAAAAGCCCCCTGCCCCTTGCCCTTTAGTGATTGTTGGGACAGTGTTTTGTATATATAAGTGTTCCACCCTTGCCTTTGTAGTGTGACCCTTGGCTTTGATGGACTTGATATGCTACCTTCACAGTCAGGTCTGCCCACTTTGGGATAAAACTTGCAGTGGCTGGGCCTCTTTACTAGCTTGGGATAGAGAACAGTAGCCAGAGGATCCTGACGCCAAGGGCATTGAAGTGGCTGCTGGTGTCTGCTCTCCTTTGCATTCCCATTCAGTGCCTCCTGAGATCACCCCACCTGACTGGGTACAACTGTCCTCAGGCTTCAGCTGTGGGAAGGAGCCAGAGCCTGAATGGGATGCCCTCTAGTGGAGATAGAGCTGGATTCTTAGTGGAGCTTGCCAGAAGCTCCAGCCCACCTAGTGGTGTGTTTACCTTGGCACAGCAGTTTAAGTGGTGTGATATGAAGCAGGTGGGATGTTTGCATTAAGTAGATGTATACTCCATGTATGGCCACTTTAAGGAAAGCTGAACCCAGGGGCCAAGTAAATAGTCTAGGTTTTACTCCAAGCTTTCTTGAAAGCCAGCTTGCCCTGTTGAATTTAAATCGCTTTAGTTGGCAAATTATACTCAACACCCCTTGTTTTCAGAACATGTCAGCTGAATAAAGTTGAAGTTTATTTGGAAAACTTTTAAAAAACACTTGGCATTCTTTGTCATGACTACCCCTTTGTTTCCTTATGTGGCTATAGATCCAACTCTACCAATCTGCCTCTTGCATCCCCTGAAGATACTCTGCTAAGAATGGGCAGCAAGGCAACCTGCTAGCACCTAGTGAAGAATGTCATACTAGGCCTTATATGGCTAGTTCTAAACTGAAAGGGAAGGGAGGATTTGCACAAGTCTAAAAGCAAGGTGTACCATACCCATATCTTGCCACTAGGGGGTGACAATTCTCCACCCATGGCTGGCCTGTCCAGAGACCCTTGCTTGGAGCATTGAAGAGTTTTGATCTGGTTCCCTTAGGGTGCTAATGTCTCTGCAGAGCAGTGGTTCTGGGCTGCATTAGAACTCTAGGAGTCTGACAAAAGATGACCAAGTTTCAAGACTCCATTCCCTGCTGTCCTTCCCTCAGCACTCTGACATGCTGCGAACAGGCATGGAAAGCCTCTCTCAAAGTGCCATTACTCCCCTCTGCTCTTTCGCCTCATATGGCACACAGGGAATAAGGAAACAGGATGGGAAGAGGCTTGAGCATTTGGCAGGGGCTTGCCCCATCCAGTGCAGCAGAACCTGTGTTGCAGCTTACTTCCCCGCCTCATCCATATGTTCCAGCAGTTGGCTCTCTATGTCACGATCCTCTGGGAGCTTTTAGAAATAGCTGTGTGAAGGCATTTTACTTTGACTCATTTACTGGTGTGGATGCAGACTGGACATTGTGCATTGTCCAGATGATTGTCATGTGCAGGTGTGACTTCCAACTGTAGTAGGGATTTCATTCCAAGACGAGGTGGTCCCTCATGGACTTCACTCTGTCTCCATTGGTTCCACTACATTAGACCAGCAGAAAGGACCTAAAATGGTTAATAGGGCTTGGTCATCGCAGATAAGCTAAGGGCAGACAGTGATGGCCGATTCAGAGTGCCTGAGTGAGAGCTGAGGCCGGCTCAGCCTTCCTGCAGTGGCGTCTTAAAGTCCCTCCTTCTGGCTGCTAATGACAACTCTGCTGGAGAGCTGCTAAGGTCACTCTAGTCTAGAGGGTAAGAGGAGAGGGGACCACAGTGACAAGCTCAGTGCTTGTCACTACAGTGGCACTTCTCAGCCTTGGCTACTTCCTGGGGGGTTTTAAAAGTCTGGGTTTAAGGGGTCATCCCCAAGAGGCTCTGCACCACCAGTGTGGGGCAGAGCCTGGGAAGGCTCACAGTGCCTTCCAGCTGTGGTGCCCTGCTAATCCTGTTTAGCTTCAGAGATTCACCCTGCTCATCCAAAACAGCCAGAGGAAAAGGAAACACACACAGAGTCCTCAACCTGAGGGACCATGGCTCTGAATAGCTGTCTCAGTGGGGCCTTGACCAGGAGGGGCTTTTCCAGAGATGGGGAGGTAATGGTCAATAACTGGGGTTTGAAGGGAGAGGGAGAGCCATAAGGGCTGAGAGGGGCAGGGTGGCCTGTGGCGTTAATGGAGGCAGTGAGACAGCTGCTGGGAGGGTTGATTGCCCATCACAACGTGGCTTGCAGCTACCTGGAGCCAGCTTAGAGCCCATAAAGAACTGGTTGCTCTTCAGAGGCAGAGAAGCACAAGGCAGAGCTGAACACGAGGAGGGTGTTAACTTGTTGGAGACATAAGCGTGGGCTATACAGGAAGAAATCGGTTCCTCTGGTGTTTCCAACAGGGCAACAGGTGCCACGTGGGCAGAGCCCACCCCAGAGCCTTCCCACGTTTCTGTTAAGAGCAGTTTTCTGTTTCCAGGACACGTGGAGACACAGATAAGAGGCAAGGAGTAGGTACCTCTGCAGGAGGGCAGAGAGATCACAGAGCCCCAAGCGCTCTGCAGATGTGAACTTGGGGATATAAGGCCTTAGAGATGGTGCTGGTTAAGTTCCTGTTGCTACAAGTGGAGTGTGCACCCAGTGTCCATAGCAACTAGTACAAGAAACCATCCCCCCCCCCACTTGTGGCAGAAGGCAGCCTTTTACCACAGTCTAGGGACTCTGGAAGACCCTCAGCTGGCAGCCCCAGAATTGGGGAATGGGAGCTGTGGCCACCTCTTGGATGAGGAGACATTGGAATAAAAGTATTAAGGTCATTCTTGCCTGCACTGGGAAACTCATCGAAGTGGGGGAGATACCTCAAAGCCAGCATTGCCACCTTTTAGCATAAAGTCATCATCTTTAAGGGGCTGAAGAGTTGGCTCCTCAGTAAAGAGAACTTGCTGCTTTTGAAAACAAGGCAGATTCTTGTCTCAGAACCCACATCACTCCTCACAACCCTCAGTAGCTCCAGGTCAGGGGATTTAATGCCCTTTCCTGGCTTCAGTGTACCTCCCGCACCACCTGGCACCACAGCACTGGGAGGCAGAGGCGGAAGGACCTTCAGTCAATCTGTCACCAGCCTGGCCTGCCAAGAGAAAACAATCTCAAAGGAAAAGAAGGCCAGTTTAGTAACTGGACATCATAGGGCAGCAATTAGATGCCTGACACATGGGGCAGAGGTCATCGGTCCTGAGAGGCAGGAGTAAGCAAGTAGTATGCCTGGAGAGGCTGCTACAGTGGGCTGAAGACTGACTCAGGGACCTAACCCCATAGGAGGAGTGGGCTTAGTGTTCAATGGATGGCTTTAGGGGGGACTGAGCAAAGAGTAGGGAGGGAGACAAGGGTTGGGAGTAGATGCAGATGGAAGTAACCATGTCATTCTGGAACCCCCCCCAAAAAGACTGGGGAAGGGCCTAACTAATGCCTGAATTTCAAGCTCCCAGGAGCCACACTCAAGGGCTCTGCATGTCTCCTCAGGAGCACTCAGTAGCCTACTCTCCCCATCCCCAACCTATTGACATCACCAGCTGGCCTGAGACATGTCGAAACAGTAGGAGCTGGCACTACCTTCGGCTATAGAAGCACCCTCAGAGCTTCCCATAGCCTGTAGTCATGGTGTTGACACTGGCGAGACCTGATGGAAAAACTTGGTCTGGTGTTAGATGTGGCCAAGCTTTGCTTTGTTTGAGGATTCTGACCATCATCGACCTTGGACACGATCTTTGGTTCATGACTTTAGCACTTGTTAGTAACCCCAACCCTAGGTTTCATCTGTTGAATCTGTTCCCTGTCTATATAACGGGTAAGAACAGCACTTCCTAAGGATGGCTCACACGGCTGCATTTGAGCGTGTACTCAATGGAAGTGATTTTTGTAAGAAGACAGAAGAATGTGCAGGATCTGATTGTGAAGATCAGCTCTTCCCTTTATTATGTGAACTTGAGCATGTCACATCCTCTCTCCCATGTCTCTCTTCTCTTACCTTACTGGGCTCAGTAAAGCCTCTGACATGAGGTGTCTGCAGCCAGGGCTTAGGTTTAGACAATCAGTCAAACTTTCCTATTGTTAATTAGCATTGTGTAAGTTTGGCATTGGAAGAGCTGAATTCAAGTGCCCACTTTATCATTATCAGTCCCCACTCATCCGCAGCACCTTCATGTGTGTGTGTGTACACATGTACACATGCAACAAAAACAAGAACGATGATTTTTTTTTCAATGTTGAGGCTCGTGAATATGAGGATGACCTGGCAGTCAGTACTGGAAAAGCCAATTCAAGCATCTTCAGCGATAGGAACTGGTGGGTTTGGGGTTGGTTGGTTGAAGACTCAGCAGCATTATTGAGGCAGGCTTGGGCTGCCCTGTGAGCAGTGGATCTCTAGAGAGAGAACGAAGGAAAGATGACCCATAATGAAAAGGCCAGACTGGAGTCATCACCTGCTATATGTGTCATTTTTCTCCTTGCTGCGAAAGATCCTTGACAAAGCATCCTAAGGAGAAAAGAGTTTGTTCCAGCTCACAGTGGATGTAGGGTTCAGGTCATTATGATGGGGAAGCCTTGGCAGCCAGAGAGGGAGGCAACTGATTACACCGTGTTGGCAGTCAGGAAGCACAGCTCACTTTCTCCTTTTTATTAGGTCTCTTCTGGGTGGGACTGGTACCCCCACATTCAGGTTGACACCCCGTAGACATACTCAGAGCTTTGTCTCCTAGGAGATGCAGGTTGACAGTCAAGATTAATCCCATTTGCTAGACTTCAACCATTCATTCCATGATTACTAAAAAGCACCTACTGGGTGCCAGCTCCAGGGCTTAGCTTCGGAGTGCAAGCAGGATAAATCACCACAAGCCTGTATGGGTACTCAGTGCCATGCCTCACAGTCCCTAAGGACCAGGATTTGGTACAAGGCATGGGCAGTTTCATATGCCACTGTTGTGTGACACCTGGAGCCTCAGCTGGATGATCCCAGGGCTACAGTGGAGCTTGTTGTGTGCTGAACCCTGGCTTGGAGCTGGCCACTTAGCATACTTCTCCATGTGGCTGGACTTCCTCACAGCAGGGCTCAGGGTTCCAAGAGTGGGCATCCCAAGGGCAAGAGCCATCAGAACCCGTACCTTTCACCAACTTAGACTTTCCAGCACATCATTCTGCCATACCTGTCTAAGCATGGCAATCAAGCTCCCAACCACTTCTTTCTCATTAGGAAGAATAGGTGGTACGGAATGAACACACAGGAACATCTGTCTCTGAGGACTCTGGGAGGCCACACGTCCCGAATCATGCCCACATACATAAGTAGTTAACGGTGATACATTTCATAAGCCCCCTCACCCTGGTTACAGGGTACTTAGGGATATGACAGAACTAACCTCCACTCACCCGGGACACTGGAGGAAGGCTCTAGCCGAATCCCTGAGTCTTGGCCTGGGAAGCCTAAGAGGAAGAGCTGAGCAGACTGGTGTACTCTGAAGACACTGCAGCAGGCGCTTGGGCTTGGAGCTGAATGCAGAGAGAGGTGTGATGCCCTGTACTCAGGGTGCCTGAGAGCAAGCCCACAAGTCTGTCTCCTCCATTCCATGTGCCTCTGCACACATCAGGCACTCAATGCATATTAACTGAAACTTAAGTAAGCCACAAATGTTGAAGAGGAAGCTAG